ATTCCCGTGAGGATGTTTTATTTTTGTTTCCTAATTTTATGCCACCTGCCGCAGGTGCGCGCACACCCACCCGTCGAGTCCCAGGGGGCGCCGAGCAGCACAACAAACACCGGTGAGGACAACGGAAGTAGAAGCTGCACATCACTGAGCATCCCTGGTAACGTTACCTCTGCTATTGTGTTACTCGTACACACACAAACTTGTTTTAGACACACAAAAATCAACTTTTATTTTTTGTTTTGGTTAAGTCTTACCTTGACAAAAAGTTCAATCTGAGGCTCCCTATCAGGATCTGTCATGCTTCCTCTTCAATACCAAACACCGGAATGTATCACACCACTACATGCTACCTTCAAACTCCTCTCATAGTCCCCAATGTCAAAGTCCAGTTATGCAACAACGTGGTCCTAAAGTGGTCCTAAAGTCAGCTGATGTGTTGGGGGGATGCAGACTGAGGTCAGATTTGTCTCGTAAAGCAGCTGGAATGCAAGCAGCAAAGCGTTCAATGACACCAAGTGCAAACAGGTGTCGGGCTCTGCTGCAGAGAGACGGGGTGGGAGGGTTGCGGGAGTCGGAAAGGGGCAGAGCCTGAGCTGCGTTTTTAATAACGTTTGCAGCAGGTGGAGGAAGTGAGCATGAAACCATGGGAAATTACAAGGTTTGACAATTGTTTAAAAAAATAAATAAATAAATATCCATTTGTATCAAAATTAAATAATCAGTAAGATAGCATCGTTTTAAATGAATATGTGATTCTAAAAGTATGAGAGGCTTTATTTTTCCCTTGGTGAATGTGATGTTTTTGTATGTGTGGGTTTGGGTGACGGACAAGTTTTTTGATATGTCTGAATGTTTTGGTGGGTGTTAGTTTTGAATGCGAGAGGGTTTTGGTAGATGTGAGCTTTTTTGTGCGAGGTAATTCAAATGAGTTTTGCCCTGGTATGTCTTGTCCCCCTAACCCTCCCAAAAGCGATCAAATAAAATAGTGAGGAAATATTCATAATTTCCAAAGGTTTAGCAATTAAACGATGTCTTTAAAGATGATGGTTGAAATCAGTGACTTGTCAGGCTAATCATTCACTGGCCTGTCAAACAGTAACACAACTCCAACACTTTGACTTCTTCTGACCCATAAAGGAAGTCATTTGAGCTCAATAAATAAACAAATAATGGAAATGTAAAATAATTATTACACTTAATTTTTAAAATTTTCTATTCATATATATTTTAAAAAGGAACTCTGGAAAGGGCACAATAGCAATGCCAATGTTTTTCTTACATTTTAATGAGTCTAACAAGCTCAATAAAATGTAAAATGACAACACTTTAACCTTGAAACTGTTTTTTTTTTTTTTTTTTTTTTTTACATATGATACTGTTTTTTTCCATATTTTAACATGGTTGCTTTTATGGAAGTATGGAGAAATATGTAAAATTTGGGCGTGGTGCTTTGCGCTGGTGATCTCTGCCCGACGTTTATCTAAAGTGTCAGCTATAGATAAGACAAAAGGTACACATTCCACCGTGTTGGAAATGTGAGGACACGCCCTGAAGCATCACTGCATACGCCATAGCTCATGTCATCACGAAACTGATGCCGTATGAAAAATAATATAATGCCGTATGCAAAATACAAGCTGAAAAAAATGAATATTTTGCAACCTGAATAGCTTTTGGACAGCGTGACTCAAAAATGAGCCCTGCCAAGTTTTAAAAATGTCGACTTTTAAGGGCAACTCTGGTATTGGCTGACTCGGGAATCGAAGTTTACCAATTTACAAGCTGAATACAGATGACTGTCCAAGTTGGCCTATTTGGAGGATCAAGAAGTGGAAGGACACATAACCTCACCTTGTGAACTTGGGAGCTGCAGACATTGTCCTACCTTGACAAAGAGCGAGATCTCAGGATGCGCGGGCTCGACTGGAGCGAGGGCGCTCTGGTCCAGGGTGAGGTTCTCCAGTGTCTTGATGCTGTAGTCCACCGCCTGTTCCTCCTTGGCCAACTTGGAGTCAGACTCGTGGTGCTTGTAGGCCATCAGCATCCCGTCCTCAGCGTTGTCCTCCTCCGGCGAAGATGAGGAGGATGAAGAGCGTCGGGATCCATCGTTCACCATCGCTGCTTTGGTCTCCTGGACGACAGTCTTCATCTCCGTCACCTCTTTTGTCTTCTCCTCCACCTTCACTTGGGCTTTCTCCTCTTCATCATGAGAGGAAGAGGACGATGATGACGACGAGGAGCGGCTGCGTTTGTCTCCATCCCTGGTGTCCATGTAGTCGGGAGAGGTGTGCTCGTCCTTGTCCAAGACGTGCACCATGACGTCATCCACGGTCACTTCCATGCTGGTTGTTGGATGTTCTGGGCTTTTGAGGAGTGGAGAAACGAGAAGTGACGCTGGCGGCGGCTGGCTCCTGGAAGACTGAATCTCAGCCGATGCCTGATCGAGCAAATTCCAGCGGCGACTCCCTTTGCAGGACCTTTGAACCTGGCAGCTCACTGATCATTTACAAAGTGCGCCCCACCAAAGCCTGCAGGCTTCACTTCAACTCCTCACACAAACTAAATGGCTTGACGTTTTACTTGCTATACTCTAAATTCACTTCTTGTATATTGTTAAGACACTCGCAGTCCTTAATGTTAAGTATGCTGTACCTGCGTGCGCTAAGTGAAACCAGAATCAACTTTTGTCATTCTGATTTTTCATTGTATTTTTAACATTGTATTTTAGTGTTGTAAATTGTATTTTATTTTGTTTATATTTGCCTTGTATTTTTATACCTTCATTTGTATAAATGCATTTTTAAACATATTTTATCCTTTCATTGTTTCATAATTTTTTTCCTTGCATTTTCCTTTAATGCATTTGAATACATTTAGTGAAGAAATTATCTCATTTATTGTCATAAACATGGAAAAGAAAATTCAAGACAACTTGCTTTAAAGTCCTTTTAACTCAGACGTTTTTATTTCGTCAACATAGCAAATACGGTACAAGTCTTGACACAATTTGTTACATTTTACAAATGCAACTCAAGCCATCGTTCTTTGAGCAAATCATTCAAATTTGTGCGTGTCTGCACGTTTCATTCATCTGTCAGCGAGACATTTTTTCCTCTTTCGTTTTCAAAATGTATCATAGAAATTGAAAAACAATACATCACAGTGTCATTTTTGGGGGACTCCGGTACCTTGTTAATCTGAAAGCCATAGACACAGAGAAATACTAAATAATTTGCTAACACCTTTGTGTCTACACTGACTTAAAAGCTTTTTGGCAGGAGGCACCTAACTTTTTATTTACGGTACTTATTTTTCACAACAACATGAATCGGAAAGTATACAGAACCGACTGACTACTGCCCCCTATCGGTCATGTAGTGCAAATCGCAGGAACAGTTCTGGCCCAAAGCGACGAGGTGAAAAAAATAAAAAATAAAACCTCCAAAGAGAGGAAAATACTCACAATGGCAAAACTGCACTTCACATTGCACCAACATAGAAATACATCCAAAAGAACAGACCACACGCAAAGGCTCTAGGACACAAAGCAATTCGGAATTGGATGATTGGCAAGTCTGAGTGGTTGCCAGGTGACATTCAAACACAGGAGGATACGGATAGCCGTTTCCGCATTTATTCAATATCCTTGACATCCAGGTTAAGGTGACGAGTGTCATTTAGCCTCAGTAGTAACATGTACTTGTCCTAATATCTGTTCTCCTGTGTGCAGAAATGTCATACATTCATGGAAGGCAGTAGTGGGGGGAAAAAAGTGCTACTAGTAAGTCCCAAACACTCAGTCCATCTACTAGTGTATGGACCTTAAAATAGATATCAAGGAAATGAAATGCTAAAATAGCTTTCCGTAGGAGGGTAACGTCTTTAGAGGGCACGTTGCCATCCCTCACGCCATTTTGACGAGAGATTGTCTCAAAGTCTTTGCTTTGTTTCAGAATCCCAGCCTCATTAATTATGGCGGTATTTTCCATATTACCCAGAAGGGCGTTGAACATGGAAATAAGAGCTGCAAGACCTCAGGTTTTTTTTTGTCCTTTTGCATAAAAGCAGAAACTTTTTTAGGCTTCAAAATACTTGTCGATATCACACAACGATCCCACAAAATAGCCTCATCAGAAGTGTAACAGAAGACCTCCGATTTATCCGTGCAAAACACGGCAAAAGCAGGCCAATGAAGCGACTGTGTGCGTTTTCACGCAGCAGCGCCACATCATGCAACCGGGTAATTAGACAACGCCAAAGGTCTTATCTGCTGATGTAAAAATCTGCTTTCGATGCAAAAGGGCAGGAAAACTGAGGGTAGGGTGTCAAACTTGACAACCCTGTCACAGGATCGCAGAAGTATATTACCTCACAAGGCAGAACATTTTTAAGTCGACTTCATCCACCTGTTGGGTGCTGTTTATACAGAACTACAGAAAATGAAGATTAAAAAAAATTAGGGCGGACTCTGATTGCAACTGAGATAACAGCCGGCGACCCGGTAAGCTACCAAATTGAAGGTTGGTTGGGAATTCAAACATAGTTGGGGAAAATGTATTTTTGAATCTATTCAGCTTCTATTTTTTTGCTGATGTCAATTTGTGATGATATAATTGCATTTCATTAGCCTCATGGAAAGTTTCCAATTAAGAATACAGTCAAACCTCGGTTTTCGTCCATAATCCGTTCCAGAAGGCTGTTCGAAAACCGAAATTGTTCGAAAACCGAAACCACGCTCTTTTTAAAATAAAAATGTTTACTGAATACGTCTGCTCACAATGGAAAGCAACACGAGGAAGCGTCACTTCCTCGTCTACCCGAGGAAGCATCACTTCCTCGTGTAAGGAAGGCGAGAGGAGTCAAATGGTGCATTCAAGTGCGCTCACTTCGTTCGAGAACCAAAATATGTTCGTCATCCGAGGCATAAAAAACTCGAAATTTTTGGTCGAAAACCGAATTGGTTGAGAACCGAGACGTTCGAAAACCGAGGTTTGACTGTATCTCCAAAAGTCCCCAGTTTAAGTTCCAATGGATATTGACTGGAAACTTTCGAGAAACCAGACATTTTCCAGCCCTTTGAAACCCGGTTCACAATCAAAGAGAAGCCACTAAAAGCTTTGCACAAAGGTTTTAAAGTCCTACCACCAAAAACCATCCACACTGGACCAGAATCCCCACCTGCTCATAATCGGATCTCCTCCAGGACGGGGATACGAGTCCAGCGTTTCCGCTCGCGTCCGGCTACAGGTGCAGGTCCTCTTGCAGTAAAGGCTGCGACATCTCCCTGCTGGCATGTTTGAGCGAGGGCAGCTGCTTGAGCGTCACCTGCTGCACAAACACCATCAGGAAGCCCACGACCAGCATCAAGCCCAGGAAGGAACCCACCACCACGGGGAAATATGAAGGCCGCACCAGCCCCGCAGGGGTGGGGATGCTGGGCGGGGACACTGTTGGCTCTGGGTGCAGCAGGTCCCGAACGTTCGAGAAGGAGCCGTTGTTCGGCAAAGGCGGGATGGCCAGGATGTGGCACATGAGGGGGTACAGGTCCACGGAGCGCATGGCGGGCTTCACGTAGTTCTGGCGGAACGCTGGACCACGGGCCAAGAAGATGGGCTGCATGCTGCGCAGAGTGTTGTCGTAGCCGTGATTTCCCACTGGGGAGAGACCGCAACTAAATGAACACAAAACTGATCTTGATGCTGGATTACCCTCTACTTGGCTGGAGCATGGTTATGAAAAATAAACAAGTTTTCAAAAACGTCAAAACTCATAAGAACAAATGCGTTTAATGCGGTATGGTTTTTCACAGTTTCATGCAGTGCTATTTTAAAGTAGGCTCGTTTCCATTTGCAGGTACTGTGGTGTACTATTTTTAGTGCCTGGGCAGTACCAAAAACTGTCACAGGGATGAGAGGAATTCTGCTTGACAACCAACCTGATGAAAAATGTCAAATTTTTGGAAACAAAGAGGAAGCTTACGCCCACACATCCTCCTACTGCTCTTCATTAATTACATCAAGGGGGATTCAGTTCAGCGTTTCAAAAAAAACCTCCAGCAAAGCTAATAATAGAACAAAGGGAGAAAAGCTGTGCAAACAAAAGAATCTGTAGGAGGTGCCGAGACGTACGCATGTGCGGTGTGCTCCTGTTCTGCACGATGGTCCATCCCTCCCGAGCCTCCAACAGGATGGGCATGATCCTGACGTTGTGGCGGTAGTGAAGGCGTTCGGGGATGGCGTCCTTAAGGTGGACCGCCATGTAGGGGTTGGCATCAGCCAACTTCTCATATACCTCATCGAGCTTCCCTGCAAAAAAATGCCACTGCTAAGTTTCACAAGAGTTAGTCGGGAGTAGCAATAGCTTACATGTCCAAACGATAACCGGAACCTTTCAGGATCACAAAGAACCAGAAGCATTAGGTAGAAATGTGACTTTGAATCTCAATGTTGTAAGCGTTACCTTCTTTGGGCAGTATTCCCACCACGGGACTCTTGTCTACCCAGGTGTACAGGTCTCTGCTCACGTACTGGTCCAGTTCGATGATCTTATCGGCGAACAGCTGCGTCATGCCGTGGTCGCTGGTCACCACCAAGTTGACCCTCTCATACAGGCCCGCCTTCTTCAGCTCGTTGCGCAGGAAGCCGAGTTTCTCATCCACGTCGGCGATGACGGCGTCCATTAGGGAACTCTCGGGCCCGAAATCATGTCCGCTGTCATCCGGTTCCTCCCAATACAGGACCCCGAAATCCACAGCCTCCTGCTCAGGAGCAGAGAACCATTTGACTATGTGCTCCACCCGGGTCTCAAAACCGACTGAGGCATTGTATGGGAGGTAGCGAGTCGGGAACATTCCATGGATCTTAACGTCGGAACCGGGCCACATAGCGGCGGCGCTTCGCCCTCCAGAGTTCTGGATGGTAACCCACAGGGGTACCGCTTGCTCCCACCATTGGGACTCGTAGAGGCTGTCTGTGTCCATCGAGAAGGAGCGGTTGAGGACCGGGTCAAACATGTCGTTAGCGACAATGCCGTGTGTCTCGGCATAGAGGCCCGTCACCAGGCTGTAGTGGTTGGGTAAGGTCTTGGTGATGTACACGTTCTCCACCTGCTCCACTGTCACGCCTTCCTCCATCAGGATGTGGAAGTTAGGTGTGGGAACGCGGTTCACGTAGTCCCAGCGGAAGCCATCAAAGGACACCAGGAGCAGCTTGGGGCGCTCTGCCAGGTCCCGGAGAGAAACTAACGGCGGTATGAAGGACCACAAGAGGACCAGAAGGCCCAGACCGCCACGCAGGAGAAGACCCAGCATCATGTGCAGAAACCTGCGAACACGGAAGACAAGGGAAGCCTTTTCTAGCTGTCTGATTCTGTATTGATGCGTCTTAACATTACAACTTAGAATGTTTCAGTGTTTTATTTTTGACAGGGTTATTATTAACAGTGAATGACTTGTTTTTTTGCATGCCAGCTAAGACTGCCAAAATGTTAACACTGGACACCATCTTTTGGTGTTTTTAGCCTCTATGAGAGCTATGTAACTATTAGTAACATTAATACTCAATTTAATTAATGGAATTTGCTTTTCCCACCAGCACTGAGGTCGTGTGGAAGAGATGCGGCGTAATTAAGAGCAAGAGGCGGAGAAGGTCCCCAGCTACTGTAAGTGTCAATAATAGTCCTTCCCACAAAGGAGAGAATACATGTCTGAATATTGTATGTTCTGCCTGTGTGCTGCTCCATGTGTGTGTAATAAATGTTTACAGGTTATTAATTACCATATTATACAGTATATGCAAATTTTTATTAGCCCTAGGTCGTTTCACATAGTTAGCTGTTAGCGTCAAGCTAGTAGCCTTTCATTGAAAGAAATTAAATGGTTTGGTTGAACATGTTGACGTTTAAATAGACAATGTTTATTTCTCTTTTGTTTCACGTGTTAGCTTTACAGTAAACTTCAATGACAAAAAAAAACTTTTTTAAGCAAGCATGCTTTGCCACTTATTTGGAGAACACTGCAAGTAGTATGTGCAGTTTTTAATCTTCTCTGTGATGGGTAAACCGATCGTCAATTATTTTCCATGTTATCGCTACACCCGGTGGGCCTGATACGCATTTCTGCGATAGACGGGGGTTCACCGGTATTTGTAAAATACGGTACAGTAGATGTGATTATAAATAAAACGTGCAGATATGATATTTGAGGAGGAGTCTGGCGTGCAGACGCTAGCGGACAATAACTCGGTGACGAACATGAGCGCATCAAAGCAAAAAAGACAACACAGGGGATTAGCCGCCGCCGGGTTAAATTTGCTCCAGACATTTTAGACCTTTCGCACCGTTTTCACGGTGCAACAGCAATTGCACATCGTCGAAAAGCACATCATGTTAATGACATAAAAAGCAGGGTCACCAAAAGGCTTACCTCGCTATCTGATCGTTGCACTGCGTGCGCACTGAGATAAACAGCCTAACTCTGCTGACTGCCGGAAAGGAAGTCCCGCCTATTTGGCAGCCTTCACGTATTTGTTGAGTATATTTGTATTCGAACGCGGCTCAGACGGTGACATGACAACAAAGCAATCCTTGAATCGAATGCACGATTTTCCTGCACGCGTGCATGGATAGGCGGATGGATGGATGTAAATGAATGCCGCGTTTTCTCGGTGCGCGGTGACGGACAAGTGCGCCGCGTCTATGACGTCATAAGGTCTCCGCGACGGGAGGGGCGGGGGCGCAGAAGGTTCAAACATTATGCGGACAGAAAACTCAAGGCAGCTTTATTTATATCGTGCATTTCGAACACCATTCATACAACCTTAAGTGGCATTGAAAAACAAAATAAGACATTTAAAAGCAAAATAAGGGGAAAAAATACAGAGGACATACAATCCAAGAACAAGATTTTGAAAATTTGTTTGTAGAAATGCATTTTTTTAAACTTTCTCAAAGGTATGGAGGGGAAAGTGCAGTTGCTCTTCTTTTTTATACTTGGTAAATTTTAGCCTAGGAAGAATAGCACAATGGTAAAACCTCAGCCCGCAGTACTGTGAGTATCCACCTGATGGCAGTCAAAGCCTGTCTCGGTGTGTCAAGTCGAGGCTTATTGCACTCAATGGCGTGTTTAGTTGAGTTTTATCTCAGACATAGACCAACACCAAGTTGCACATAATGAAGGGAAAGGATGACAGAAATTATGTACGGTTTTAAAAATTGTGTGTGTGTGCATATACGTATATAAAAGAGAGAGAGAGAGGGAGGTACAGCTAAAGTTACGTACTCTTGTTTTTTTTTGTTTCTTGTGGTTAACTTATCTTTATGCAAGGTAAAAAAAAAGATTCATCTCACCTCCACATAACGCTGATGTAATAACAGTTAAGTGTGTGTGATTGTTTTTATGCACATTACGAACAGTGGTTCAAACAAAGGTTTCTTCAAACATCGCCTGTGGGGTTCAATGTTTTATGAAATGTACAATTTGACTCTGTAATTATTTGAGTGATGAAAACAGGCATGTATTGGAAGTAGTGTGCTTCTTTACTGATGTGACTGGAGTACGGCGTCTGTTTGACCGGAGGCCATGATTTGAGGAAATATATTTCCCAATCTCTCGTGATATTGATTGTTGCAGCTTTGCCAGCATTCTTGTTGAATTAAGAGGGTTTAACGATCTTTTTGTCATGATGGCTGCCTTCAATGCTCAGGTCATGTCCAAAAGGTTCCACAAAGATATTTTAAACAAAAGGCAAACATTGTCTGGTAATACCATGAGATGCAGTGTTCTATACGTTCGAATTCTACACATTTCTACACAAGCTTGATGTATTACACGTTTGCTCCTCATTGTTTCATTCAGCTGACAGTGTGCTTTTCAACACGCGCACGCTTCATGACAAGGATTTTTTCGGTTTGTTTTGTTTGCAGGAAAAAAAAGGTCCTTTGTCATTTTGTGGCACTCACTACACACTTCTGCTTGTGTGACGTTGCACACAAAGGTTGAGCGTTTAGGTTCAAAGGTTCTGGATGTTGTCAGGATAAAATTTGACTCAGACATTACATGCGCTACACATGTATTATTACATTAGGAATATAACACCAAGTAATATCATTATCAAGGCCTCTGAGATCCCAAAATTTCTGAAGAGAATGCAGCGGTCTAATGGTCATTGTAAACTATGAAAAAAATGTGGGTTGCATGTGATAGGCTTTTTATTTCCATCCTTATTTTGTCGGCCACATAAATTGATGTGACACAAACAAACTTGCCTTACTTAACTGAAAAACAACGGCACTTATTTTTAAAAAGCATGATGACTTGTCGTGTGTTTTAGTGGAATTATGCCATGGGGAATGCTAACTTCCACAGCACACAAACTTCCACATCACCCAATGGAGGTGGAACGCGCGTAGCATTGCGTCAGTTTTCCTGGTCCTTTTTGTTGTTGTTGTTGTTGATTTTTTTCAGGCCAATCAACAATACGCTCCGACAAGATCCAGAGCCGCCGAGAGTCGGCCAGGCATGGCTGTCATAGCTCGCCTTGAGGGAGCAGTGGGCGGGGTCCGATCCAGGCCGCCAAGCCAATCGTATGCGGTCAGTGCCAGCTGTCAATCAAAACATCCTCGACGCTCTTATTTACATGGAGACAGTGACGACCAATGGGGAGTCGGCATGGGAAAAGATTTGACGCGTGCTGGCCAATGGCGTCGCGAGGCACAGAATTTTAGGGGAGTGCATAATTATCAACATATTAGCCAAGGTGCTTTTTATATATCGATCCTCTTTTGCGCGCTTGTTGTAATTTCCCCACCGTGTGGACTTTTCAAGGGTTGACCTTTTAGCTTAGCGTCGTTCTTTGGTGCTTTTCCGTTCACGAGCAACATGCCGAAAAGGAAGGTGAGTGTCGCTGCTGCTATTGAGGTACCGTCCGCTTCGCAATTTTCGCTGTATAAACAGCGCCATGCGTCCGAACAAGTGCAGTGCGAGTTAGAAGACGTGTGTGGAATTTCTTTCGACGTTATTTTGTTTTTGTTTTTGTTTTTTCTTAGCCTCCGCTTCCGTGTTTTCCGTGCACAATGTCACGAGGACGCGCCAAGTGGAAAATGGCCAAAATAGATAACGGTGGACTGCCAGCCTGAAGGATGTCATGTTTCGAAAAATTCCAAATAACACGAGAGAAATGTACTCAGAACGTTCAGGGCTATTTTGCCATCTTTGTACATGCTCGTGTACCACCTGGATGCTACCATTGTGTGTATGTGTGTGAGGGGGGGTCTTTGGGCCCATCCTAAACCAACACTATGTGGATCGTCGTCCTCGCTCTTTGTGTGCGATGTCACGCATGCGCGTAGAGCAGCCCGCCCGAGTAAATCGGTGATGTTCGAGGCAGCTCATTTCTTGCCATGTAAATACCATCTTGCAACTGAGGGAAAATGTGCACTATTTATTGATAATGTGATGGGCTTTGTGGATGCATGTTGTTTTACTTTGCTAAAGTTTGAGGCAGTGGCGTGCAAGTTTTTGGGGTGGGGGGTATCCACCTCAGGGGCATCCACAGCACTCCTTCACCTCAAAACGTCTTCAACTGGGAGAACAATAAAATGCTAACATTCCTTGCAAGTGTTTCAATCTTGTGTTTGACACCTTAATTTTCACTTAGTTGCAGAGGATGAGAAGCTGGTTTGTAATGAAAAATTTGACTCACAACGCAAAGCAAAAAAACAAACAAAAAAAAGTTTACCAAGCGCTGCCTCATAACCTGAAAAAGTTGTAAGTTAGGCCCCTTGTAAGTCAGGTTACTGCTGTACTTTTTCCTTGTTTGTGCTCGCAAGGCTGTAATGCAGATTCGTTTTAATTCACTGTGTGTGTGTGTGCGTGTGTGTGTCATTGTAATAAAACTGACCCGATATGCTCACTGTGCTCTCTCCAGCAGTCTCCTGAAAACCTCGAGCGCAAGGACAGCTCCAAGGTCACCAAACAAGAGGTAAACTTAAGTGTGTGTGTGTGTGTATATATATATATATATATATATGTGTGTGTGTATGTGCGCGTGTGCGTGCATGGGCACGTGCGCTTTCGTTTGATTTTTCTCTCATCATGAGAGGCAGTCTCAAAGTGAGCAGATCAGGTAAAGACACAGACTGCAGAAGTTCAACTGATATGTCTTTCTCTCTCTTTCTGTCACTGTCTCTTGCTCTCTTAATGATCATCTTAGCCCACCAGGAAGTCCGAGAGGTTGTTATCGGTAAGTTTGGTCCTCTCCTCCTCACTGTCTTCACCACTATTCTTTTTCAGTCTCCCAAGTTTTGCACGTGTTTGTTTTATGTCTTTTCTATGTTTTTCTTTTTTTTTTTTTTTTTGGCCAGTGTGGTGTAATAGAAATTAATCAATAATGGGTAAAACTAGAACCACAAAAAAAAAATTTAATTCACCCAATTTTGGCCAATTGTATCCTTCCAAATTTGTGGGGACTGTTTTATTTTGTATAAACGATTTCCAGATAGCTGCTTCACCACACAGCCTGTTTTTTCTATGTTTATACACTCCCTGGCATCCGGCAGAATCCCCGTACCTTCAAAAATCAGCACTTTCAGGAGACACCAAAAACAGCACATTGATTCGACCATTATTATTACGACTATGATCGACTACTAGAGCAAGCCATTTTCAAAAGAATAAGATTGGTCAGTCATTTGTAAAAATAACACCCACGTGTAGACTGACCTATACCATTGAATTGTGGAAAAAATGTTTGATATTTATCAAATTGCGACAAGGTTTCGGCCCGACGCCAGTGAATACTGTCGAACTCTGAATGGTGTACATGTAAGTGTTCAATGTGATGTGCATGTAAACTGTTTCACTGTTGGAGCCCTTTCAAATCTACTTGTCCCACCCTTATCTTAAGAGCACACAACTTGACTAATTGTGAATACTGTATGTACCAAATCTGTAAGATTTAAATGACCTTTTTTTTCTAAGGGGTCATCATGAATTGTGAATTTCAAAAGGCTTGTTGATCACAAGTACAGTAAGTCGGATAGACAAAAGAATCTCAGGAAGTCATGCCTGAAAAGAAATGGCGCTTTCCTGTCCTTTAAAGACGAACACGTCCTCCCAAGTTTTGTTCAATTGCTACCAAATTTAAAGCATTATTACAAGACAGACATGTGGTTCTCCATATCAAGAAAGCGCCAACAGGCCGATTCAGTCTAACCAGCTTCTGTTGGTCCTGCAGAAGCCTCCTCTGCCAAAGCCTGAGGCCAAAGCCAAGAAGGTCGTCATCAAGGTAAATAAAGCACGCTCACACACTTTAAAAAAATTATGACATATCCAATCTTAACAAGCCTCTCTGAAGCCGACTCTTCCCTTAACATTTGACCCATATTACTGATCAATGAATGGATAACTAATATTGTATCTTTGAATGACTTCTTCAGCAGAAGGCAGCAGATGAAAAGGGGGCGAAGGCACGGAAGGGCACCACCAAAGGGAAGAAGGAAGATGGCCCTGCCCAGAACGGAGACGCCAAGGCTAACGAGGTTTGAAATAAGCCAAAAAACACAAAACAAAACAAAAAAAATGGAGTATTTAATGACTGTGTGTTTGTGTTTCAACACATCATACATACCATATGCATGCACACGCAGATCCTTGTGTGTCGTCCATCTGTTAGTGTGTCTTCCATCAGAAACTCAGCTCCCTCTACCGTGTCAGTGCGAGGGCAGACCGAGACAGTCAGAGTGAAGGGTATGCCAGTGTGTCATGCTAACCCAACTTTGCATGTGCCCTACTAACTCATAGCTTCATCTTTAGAATAAAAAGCCTTTTCACCCTGCACTTAGTACAACATAGTACCCATTCATTGTATATGGACTGCTGCGGGCGCAATGGCGCTGCTGGGGGCTGGCGGACCATGAAGTTGTTTCGGAGTATACAATAGGGGAGATGGCGGCAGAGTGATTTCAGAGTGGCAATAGTCTCTTACATCCTATATAAATGTAGTTAAATTCCAAATGCTACGACTGAAGAGGTTGGACTGCTGTGTGTATTTCCTATCTTGTGATTGTTTGCAGTGTGTTGCAGCAGTGGTCCCCGACACAGGTGAAAAAAAAACTGACATTCCTTCCGGTTTATTTATTATCAGGGGCTGAAAAATATTTTATTTGGAAAACTGACTGGATTTTCGTCAAGATCCTGATTTGTCCCAGCCGTATAACAATAATATTAAACCCAAATGATTGCAGAAGGAGTTGGAGAAAGAAAAACAATATCGGAAAGTATATTTGCAATGGGGGGGAAGCCAAGTTGAGGATTCAACACAATAGCAGATGCCCAAGAAGAAAACGAAAGGTGCATTTCACAGCCAATCCCAGGACACCTACTTGAAATATGGATTGATTGCGACAGGTGATTCCCACGCACCAAGCCCGCTCATCACAATACACGGTGGCGAGTCGATGAAGCCTTCAAAACTGATTCGCCAACAAATGTAAGTGCAATTGAGAGCGTTATACTTGGTGGCTAACCACATTTCTAAGGCTAAAAAGTCATTCAATATTGATGGGTGGGGGTGTAATAGTAGATTGGCGTTGATTGTTGTACCATTAACCCCCGCCGCCCCTCTCTCGGTCGATGAATGGTTGCCGGTCTGGACTTATTTGAACCGGTCCGCGGTGGAGGAAAGGTTGGGGACCACTGTGTTACAATACATTTTTAACATAAAAAAAAAAAAAACTTCATTCTTGCCGTTTTTCTTCCCTGCAGGCAACTGAGGCTGTTGAAGAAGGCCCCGAGGAGAAAGCGTGAAAACTACAGGCGCCATTTCTTTCCCCCTTTTTTCCAATAGACACATTTTTTTGTAACATGCTGAATTTTTGTAGACTTGTGATAAGATAAATGCTAGAGATGAACAACCAGCGTTTCCTGAGATCCACATTTTATGTCCACATTACTTAACTTCCAACACTACCTTTACAACTTTTTTTTTTTTTTTTTAAGCTATGATTGGACGGCTGTTTATGTTCTTCATCCTGATCTCTCCTTCTGTAGTCATATTTCAGTAGTGGTAGGAGTATTTTTAGAGAAAGCGGCGGTCACCTTGGAGAACACCTGCAGCATTTTTACAGCTCTTCCTGTACAGAATGGCCCATAGCTCCTTTTTATATGTGTGTGCTAGGCTGGACGCGATGCTGGGTCTGTTGTGTTTGACTTCCCAACCTTTTTCTCTCTCCTATAGTCAACCCCCAACCCCACACCACCCTCTCCCTAATTCCCTGGTCCTGCAGCAGAGTGACAAAGCAATAAGCAGCAGTGCGGTGCTCAATTGGCTTCATTCTGTTGGGAGAGTATTTTCAAATTAAAAAAAAAAAAAAAAGTTGACCACTTGGTTTTTTTTCTGCAAGATTCCATTTGTTAGGCTACGTGCACAATGCAGCACATGTTACCCAATGTGGATTTTTTGTTAAATCCAAACTTTTTATTTGCTCGATCACATTACGAAAACAAATGTGATTTGTAATGCAAACTGAACTGTAAACTGAACGTCTGTGATATGGTGCCTTGATTTACGTGAATGTGCTCGCAACCCCAATCATTTGTATCTCAAATCAAGGTTCCTTATTGACATGAAAAGAAAGGTCATTAATCCTTTTCAGCGCCTCAAAACACCGACAAGAGTACACCAGAAAGGGAGCTGCAATTTCTCTCACTTCCCAAGAAAAAGCAGTCAGCCCCCTTTTGTTTCAAAACTTATGTAAGATTTGTTCCTTAGAATTTCGCACTGGCAAACAGTTAATTATTGATTTGATCTAATGGATTCTGTTTTCATTGAATTCATTATCTTCCACTTAAACATTTTGATTGTAAATGTACTGGGAGACGCCAGTGTGCCGTTGTGTGCATTCTAGAGTGGCTTTTTGAGGGCATTTTCAAGCACTGGGGCCCTGCACACCTGCATGTGTACGTGTAGTTGTACATATTTTGTGTGACGCCACGTTGCACAGACAAATACTAAAAAGTGCTGCATCAGCAAGTGAAAGGTCAGCAATCGGCGGAGCCTATGGAACTCATGCCCGTGCACGATAGGTAGGCCTCTCGTAGGCTTTCTAATGAGAGAGAGATGAAGTCAACTGCGGTTGAGACCACGATTGATTGAGGTCTGAGTCTTACGAGCAGAAAAAAAAAAACAGGGAGAGCAGCAACAAGTATGAGTGAACCAGAGAGCATTCATAATGGCCACAGTCTCAGAAGCACAAGGTAGTCCCCCATCAAGAATCATTCCATGCTGATGGATGATTTCTGGCGAATTTTGCACTCTTTGTTAGTCAGTTGCTAAGCGATGGAACACACTTTGAGTCGCAGGAATCGGCATGATTCTTTCTTTGTGGATGTCTGTGAAACTTGAGCACCGTTTTGTTAACTCGTGATCATGGATTCATCAATAGCTGTCATTGGCAACACATGACAGTGCGCCAAAAAAGGAGAGACTGCCTCCCTGTGGCTACAAAGGTCACCACTGTTAGCAACACACAGCACAAGTTTGGTAACATTCATATACGGGGTAGGCAAATTTTTGTACTCCATGGGCACATTTAATTTCTAAAACAGACCTAGGGACTAAGTTATTCATATCAGGGAAGATTTTAAACACGGTATCAGTAAAAAAAAAATGTATGCACATGTATTTTGGCCTGATCTCCTAACTGCTATTGTGTTCATTTATACATAATTTTCAAGGTGTCTGATCTTAGTAATTCCCTGAGGGACAACTACAGTGAAAAGGACAAATCAGTCATCCCGGAAACCCCCCCTGTCCCCCAAAACATAAAATGATGTCAGTGAAACTAAACTCAGATCCATGCTAACTAAAGCACAAGAAACTGGTGATGTAACTGAACAGTTGAGCAAAATACCAGTCAAAAAAGTAAAGAGGACTTGAGCTCACTTGTTTGTAGTCAACCAGTCACATTCAAATTCATGTTAAACCGGAGTCAGCCCAGACCTGTCAACATTTGAATTTCTTATGCTCACACTTCAGTTCCAGTTGAATCTTGGTTTCATCAGACCCTCACACATTTGAATTGATTCTGAAAATAGCCCCAGTTATAAGAGGGTGGCCAATTTTATCTCAGTTGTTCATTTTTTACTTCCTCCAAGAAAATGCTTCCTTTTTTTTAATTGAGTTGTTCAGTTTATAGGTCAACATACACATGGAAACAGAAGAAAATAATGCCACTAACAGTGTTTTTAGTTAATACTTTTCATCACTATCTTTGATGCCCAATTTCCTTTGAGCACAACTTCTTTTATTGACACTTTTAGTGTTTTATTTTCCTTGTAGCATTGAATTGCATATTGTTCAAAAACAATGGATGGGCACACCACTTCCTTTTCTGCACAAATCTCTTTTCTCGTCTTTTTGCTCATAAGTTTCTGGGATAGCTAATTCTTTTGTTTGACCGATCATTTTGATCAACTGTTACTTGCAATTTGGGATGTTTCTGATTTCAGTGTCTCGAGCAGAGTTCACCAAGGTGATGCCCGACAGGTAAGCCCCAAAGACCACTTAAGTAGCCTGTGAGTCTGTTCTAAAAAGATTGAATGAGTAATGGGCCGTTGTGATTTCTGAGGAATGTCGTCGAAGTGATCATTTGAAAATGTGAACATTGGCAGAGATTTGTAGAGATGAAGTGTTACATATTGATATTCATCCATTTCCTAACTACTGAGAATTAACATGATCAGTGTCTCTGCATCAATGAATTCATTATTAATATAACAGTAAGGCTATTAAAGGCAATTTGGGCAAATTTGTTATTTCATAAGTGTGTATTGAACCCCATAGCCCTTTGCATTAATCAGTACCCAGGAAGTCGCTCTCGGCTTCAAAAAGGTTGGTGGCCTCTGTGCTTGAGGTTGCCGGGATGACTGAGTCATCATTTTCACTGTAACTGCCCCGGCCAAATGCAAAGTCTCGGCATTTTCATAAAGGTGCTTCACTTTATTTGTAGGTTGGTATTTTCAGACGTGTTCATTTGTCAAACACTGAAAATGAATTCAGGTGGGTGCTCCCGTTTCTTTTCACACAAATAAATGTGACTCTTGAACCTACATGTATTTAAACTGACACTTGTAATCTAATCGGAGAAGGGGGTTCCCTGATTAGGAGACAAATTGAAAGAATCAAGGAGAATGTTGAGAAATATTGAAGTTGTGTCGTTTTTAACACTTAGGTCGATTTTCCAAATTCTTTCTGCCTTGTACTCAGGTTCAAGTGGCTTTTCCAACCAAACTTTGCATTTTGATGACTTTTCATTTTACTGTCAAATGTTCTTGGCTTTAGCTTGGGGATCTTCCAGGGTCAAGACCTACAACGCATGGAACATGATGGGGGGGATGCTGACGTGCCCTTCAGCAAGGCTGTCGGTGAATCTTACTGTGATTATGTACACTGAATGGTAGCTATGAGACATACTGGCAACTGTTAATTTGTGTATTGATGCACTTAATGAATTGAAGCTGCTTTAGGATAACCAGGAGTTAAGTGTCCCTTCGGTGGATTCGTGATAATTACCATAATGTTACTCCAATGTTTCCGTGCTGTTCCACTAACTCACGAGATTTTCCTTCATCAGGCTATGTTGTTGCCCCCTCTGCCGCCAATAACAACCCTTCCCCCATTTTAGTGTCAGGCGGCGATAAAGAGATGGACTTCTTCCGCGCCGAGCAGGCTTTCAGGGGAGGGCGAGTGTGTGTTAGCGAAACATTTTGTTCGAGTAACACCAAAACGAAGCGAACACTTAAGCAAACAAACGTCGACGTCAAGTTGGCTTTTAGGGATTAGCTAGCCTTCTCGCGCAGATTCGGCAGCCATGTTTTACGTCTAAAAATTTTAAGTGTCCATCCGCAGCTCGATTCATACTCAAGCGTTACTTATTAACGAGTCAAACGTCGTCTCGATGTTAGGTATCGACCACTTTCAGTAACGAACAAATTCTCTCTTCCTGAAGTAGGTTGCCATTACAAGCTCCCCTCCACAGTAGCCTATGCGTGAAACACACCTCTGATATCCCTCCGCCGAGGGCTCGCGTTTTCCCCTTTGAAGGGGGAGGGGGATCTGGATAAAAACAACTACGTAAGATTAAAACTCGACCATTAAAATCAATATTTTCCCCCTCATACAAACACGCGTCTGCTCGTGGTTTGCGTCCCCAGGTATTTACGACGGTGTTTGGCGACCAAACCCACCGCGGGGCTCTAGAATCGTCACCGCGCGGAGGAGCACTGTGAGCTGAACCGAGCCGGGCCTGTTTTCGAGCGCCTGAATGGAGGCAGCCTCTTCCTGGTGGATAAACAGTGACAGCTACAGGGCAGCCACCGACACCCAGCGGCCCGGCTCCGGCGCTGCCCCCGCCGAAGCACGCCGAAAACATGGCTTCAGACAGGCCACACATCGCGCAGTTGACTTCTGGTGAGTAGCGGAGCTCGTGGAGCGGGCCGAGGTTGTCGTATATGTCCCCCCTTCTCCCTCCCCGCGATCGGTAGCCCTCTTGTAACGCAGCTCCCCCGTGCTTCTTCTCTCTCCCCTCCGACCCACACCAGAGCTCTACTTCCTAATCGCCCGCTTTCTCGAAGCCGGACCATGCCAAGAAGCAGCCGAGGTTGGTGTTTGAGAATTTGGGGACTCATTTGGAACACATCAAGGCGGCCATGAGGCGTCATGTTGTCTTTTTTTAATCCATTTTCAGACGCTGATCAGGGAGGTGGAGGATAAGGAGGTACGTGGAGTGGAGAGATGCGCGGGCGCTGCAACGTTGCCTCTTTTTGCTTCACTTCTCGAAGACATGTTTTAAAAACAACACTTTTAATGATGATCACACTTAACGATGTTTCGTGTGTTGCTTCGTGTGTAGCTGCTTCCCAGGAGGTTGGACTGGACCGGGCAGGAACACCCCGGGACGTATGACAATTTGGTAAGGGAGCTTCTCTCTTTTGCAGAGAGAAAGTTTCAACACGGCAACTTTACGAATTGAATTTCCCGCATTTTTCCCCATGCGAACAGCAAAACACTTTAAAACCTGTATTTTGTTTGTTTGTTTTTTTTAAATAAAAATAATCGAGGTAAGATGAGGCTTTTTAGGTCAGTCAGGACCTGGCATCATCACCCAAGTGGTGTCCCACGCAAGGGAAAAGGGGAAAGTGGAGTTTGAACGCTCGTGGAATTGTTGCTACGTCACGAGTGTTGTGGGTGCAGGCAGGCAAGCGGGCAGGCAGGCAGGCAGGCTGGATTGGACTGGAGCACCGTCTCTCACTCTCGCTCAGTTCTAGCTTGCTCCATACACTGAAACAAAACTCCTCTTCTGCTCCAAACTGGATTATTTGACTCTTTTTTTTTTTTTTTTTTGAAACAAATCATTTCATATCTGCATTGAATACGGATTAGCAGCTGCCACTCAGAAGGAAGGAATAAACGCAGAGAGGTGTTGTTGGATACACTTTTTTTCCGCTGGAGGCTTTACTTTGGACATGGAGATGAGAGGTAACGTTGACCTTCCATACACTGAAACAAAACTCCTCTTCTGCCCAAAAAGGGTTTTTTTGACTTTTTTTTTTTTTTTTTTTGAAACAAATCATTTCATATCTGCATTGAATACGGATTAGCAGCTGCCACTCAGAAGGAAGGAATAAACGCAGAGAGGTGTTGTTGGATACACTTTTTTTCCGCTGGAGGCTTTACTTTGGACATGGAGATGAGAGGTAACGTTGACCTCTTATTTTTTTAATGTATTAATTCTCAATAGAATCCCTCTAGGGGTAAATTGGACTCTCACCGCTGTTGCACACCACACGGCGGAGTCGGATCACACACATGCAGGCAGGCAAGGAGAGATGTCAGAGGGAAGCCGCAACCTTTCAAGCTGACGTCACCTATTGGTGGTATTAGTGCCTTGCTCAAGGGTACCTCGACAGTAGTTTAAAAGCAGGCGAATGTCTCCTCGTTGTCGTCTTTTAATTTGTTCACACAGCAGGACTCGGACCGCCACTCTCAGGTCCCCAAATCCTCATAGATAAATTAGTGTCATCCATCTACATGTGTTCAAATATTGAACTTAATTAATGCTCATATTATGCCAATTAAAAAGCGCATAAGTAAGCCTTTATGGTGTTTTGTAAAATGGAGAGAGTACTCTAAACCCCATGTGGTTGACGACACCAATGGGCTATACGTGTGCAATGTACATAGTTTGCTATTAATCGGATTATCTGATTTAATCGGTTATTGTAAACTATTAATATGCATTTGGGGTGATTTTTCTTACTTGAATATTTGCATTCCACTCACGTGGATGTTATATATTTATAAATGGGGAATTAGAGTACGTGAAATTCTCATGTTTATGGAATTACAAAATATATTTCAGCGTGAGTACACGTAGTCTCTCCCGCTCTCCTTCTCCCCCCTTTCCCTCACTTTCGCTCTCTCTGCATGCCCCTCCCACCGCTTGTCAATCAAAGACTGCCTCTAATTATTTTCTTAAATCTTGTAAATGCTATTAATTTTTAAGAAAAAAAATATTTCCGTGATGTCACCTTTGTATTATTAATTAGCTTAATACTATTTTGTTGTTGCTGTGCTTCCCAAGTGCGTTGTGCGTTTTACACTGCAAGGATGGAGATAGGAATTAATTAGCATTATTAATTAGGAGTAATGAGTTAAGATGCATTAATTAAATCAAAGGCCGATATTTTTGTATTATTACATGAGAAGGGGTTGTACAGCTGCACATGTTGATGTCAATTTTTTCAGTGAATGACGAGCCATCTTGAGAATGTTTGGTTTTTCGGTGCTTGTGCTTTCATGTGCCGTGTGGACAATGACAGTTATGAAGACGACTTCTTTTGCAGTTATGTACAGGGGGCGATTATGTGCAGAGAACATTGTTAATATCTGTGCGCGTGTATGTGTGGATTGTGGTATGCTAATCACGTTTCTTGTACCAGCAGTAATGTTGGATGTAATTATGGGTGGCCATTAATTGTGTGTGTGTGTGTGTGTGTGTGTGTGTGTGTGTGTGTGTGTGTGTGTGTGTTTCTTTCTCAGGCTGCTAATGCACTGATAAGAGAATGGATAGTGTGTGTGTGTGTCCGTGTGTCTGTGTGTCCGTGTGTTGCATGTCAGTATTTGAATGTGTGAACATGTCATGTGTGGTCATTGACAGTCCCTGTAATACAACCCAAATCTGTGAATTTCAAAATAAAATATACTGAATCCTTGCGAAACACATACAATGCCACCCTATTGCAAAAGCAGTGCAAATACTCTGTGAGGTTTAGGAAAAATAAATTTTTTGAAGTAATGTAAATGTAACTCACATTAGTTCATTTATTCATTACACACACAATCAAATGTAATCCCCTTTTGATTTATGGTTAATTCTAGCTTTGGATGCAATACAAGTTACACATTTGATGAATTATTGTTTTTGATGCAGAATGACTTTGTTCCATGTAATATGATATTATGTTCCTTATTTCTCCCCTTTTGAAGAATTGTCATGTTCCCACACATCCCTGAAATTCCTTGAAATGTTTGGACTATGTTTCATTTTCGTACTTGATGACATTACTTTTTTTTTGTTTTTATCTCACTGGCACTGAATAGTTTGTTTTAGATAAAATGTGAATCAAGAAGCTTGAACCTTAATTTCTTCTTCAGCTTTTATTTATTGCTCCATCCCGTATCTCTATCTTCAAAAATGTTTTTTTGAATCATTTTTATGTGCAAATGCAGCTGATTGATGAATGTTGCTGAGTGTTTTGATGAACTTGCCCATCTGATGGTGTATCTGTATGACCATATAGGTGAAGCTGTACCGCCACATCAGTCCTGAGCACCTGCTGCACGTGTGCTCCAGGGTGTGTCCTCTGCTGGAGCGCGATGTCCCAGCCAGTGTGCCGGGACTCACTAGCCTGCTGGGGGCCGGCCGACAGAATCTCCTCCGGACCAGCAAAAGTGAGCCGACGCACATATCTCAGACCAAGCACACTTATGGGAAGCTTGTTTGAGTGTTAATTTGATATTTAGCGTTAAGGATGTGTATGGAAATGGCTTTTTATACGTAAGCGCACATGAGGTCTGATCTGTTTTTGTGTCGCCCAGGTTGTAAGCATGTGGTGTGGAAGGGTTCGGCGCTGGCGGCGCTCCACTGCGGACGACCACCAGAGCCTCCTATCATCTATGGGAGCCCGGCCAACATCGGTAAATAACACTTGTGATTTTGTTCCATTCAAAACAAGAACGTTTTAGCAGTCTAAACCCGGCATTTTGATTAATATTACTTTTGTGGAATATGAATTACGAAGCAAAAAATGGCCGGGTTTATACATGTCGGTAGGGCTGTTTTGCCACTTGCTGTCGACTAAAAATGACATCACAGTGCAAACGTCACATGAGCAAACCTATAAAAAAAAAAAACAGGTGAGCCGCGACGGTCGTTGCCTGAGGCCTTTGGCACTGTGATGTCAGTTTTAGTCGAGGGCAAGTGGCAAAATGGCCGCCGGCTTAGATCGTAAAAACAGATGGATGCGTATTATTTGAAACTGTAAATACACATACATTTTGACTAAACAGACTAAACAGTGCCTCTTGAGTAAACTAGCACCCATATGTTTGCCACCATGTTTTGAGTGTAAACAATTTGCTTAAGCAGGCTTTGGAAGCTGCTATGGGTAGGGCTTTTTTTGTTTGGTTCCAGCATTCTCACATTGTGCATCTTTTTACTCGTGTCAGTGGAGACCAGCCACGGCCGGCGCCTGAACGGTTCTTACCGCCTGCGCCAGCTGGTGCCCACCGCAGTGTATCAGCACATGAAGATGCATAAGAGAATTTTGGGACACCTTTCCTCAGTCTACTGCGTTACCTTCGACAGGACTGGACGACGCATATTCACCGTAAGTGTGAGCTTATGTAGCCTTGAGTATTTACGGTCCCATTGTTAAAATTGTTTAGGATGTCCAAATACATTAGTACTTTAAAAATGAGAGGTGTGTCTCTTCTGGTAGGTTGAGTCCATCGTCAAAAGATGCAACTTTTGTGTGTGTGCGTGTGTGTGTGCTCGTGTGTCAATGTCATTGTGCACCCCCTGCCCCTTGTGTTGTCTTCTGATTGTCTGACTTTATTTGAGCTTTATTTAATGCTACCTGCTCCCATTTGCAGCTTTCATGCCCTAAAATGTCTAAAAATGGCTGCGGAGGAGGAAGGGGGGGGTGGTCAGGGGTGCATGCACGAGTACTACATTGACTCCTCCGTTATGTCTCTTTGCGTTTGTACATTTCCTGGGCTCGCTTCGCCGTCTTTTTCTTCTCCCGTTGCGGCCCCTCCTTTGTTCCGTTTCTCAACGCGCCCCCCCCCTCCCCCTTTCTTTTTTTTTCCCGCTTTTCCTCCTCACAACTGGAGAGTGAGAGTGTTTCCTCTGAGGCACTTGCTGGATAAATGCCAGAATTAACATTCATCCTCCGTCTCCTTCACCCCCCCCCTACAGTTTGCAGTTTCTTTTCATAATCATATTTACCTTGTGACGGACATGTTGATTATTTTTTCCTTGACCGTTCGATTAATGCAGCTGTAAGCTATTGTTGCTCTCTAACGATAAGCTTAATGCAGTGGTGCCTTGAGGTACGAGTGAACTGACATACACGTTTTTGAGATAGGTGACATCATTTGGGCAATTCCAAAAGATCAGCATTCGGGCTAAGCAGTTAATCGAATTCAAATCAAGATCGCAATGTAATAGAATGCAAATTTTAAAAAAATAATGATAATCTACCTTCCATTTAAATAGTACCGAAGTACCGCATCTGTTTTGTACCACTTTTTGCCACCTCCAATGTTGTGATTGCAGTTTCAAAAGCTGTTGAGGGCACTAAATAAACAGATCTTTACTGTTTCAATATTTGGCACCCTGGTGGTGTTGTGGTTCTTTTTGTTTCTCTGCTGCTAGTGTTTGGGGGGGGAAAAAGGCACCAAAATTATAGATACTCGCTTTATGACCTTTTACCACCCTTGTATTTTGAATGGTATTTTTCCTCTGGATAATTGTGGCTTCTTTGAAATGCACGTCATATCAACCAGCCCAACATTAAAGTCATTCTGATGCGCGGACTCCTTTCTCCGGCTTTGACTTCAGGGTTCCGATGACTGCTTGGTGAAGATATGGAGCACGGACAACGGGTGTCTCCTGGCAACGTTGCGTGGGCACGCTGCCGAGATCTCCGACATGGCGGTGAGCTACGAGAACACCATGATCGCCGCCGGCTCCTGCGACAAGGCCATCCGCGTGTGGTGCTTGCAGACGTGTGCCCCGCTAGCTGTGCTGGAGGGCCACGCCGCCTCCATCACTTCGCTTCAGGTGAAAAGTCTCCTTCGACTGTATGAGAGTACAGCGTCCATAACAGTAATAACAGGAATAGCTATGCAAATTTTTATTAGCCCGTCTGTGACGTTTCACATTATATGTTGCTCGTAAGCGAGTGGCCTTTTGTCTCTCTGTCGCAGACTTTCGCCTATTGTGAGTGGGTCTTTAACTTATTCCCCTAGATAAACGGGGGTTCACGGTTATGCTGGAAGTTATTATTTCAACTTATTATAAACTGCTTGCGTTTGCAGTTTTCTCCTCTGTGTTGCGGCTCCAAGCGCTACCTGTCCTCCACGGGTGCTGACGGCACCATCTGTTTCTGGCAGTGGGACGCACGCACACTCAAGTTCGGGTGAGACACAGCTGCCAGTGTAATGAGCGCACTTAGATTTTCTTTATTGTACATAAATAACTTTATTATGAACATATGGACTGGACACTACAGCGGAATCTCCAAACATGGGCGCAATTTGACATTTTCCCCCCCCCAGGAAAGAATGTGATTAAAATGAATTCATCTGTTCCTGGACCAGCTTTTATTAAAACACTCTTATGTTGCAGGTTAAATTGACCCCTTATAAAGTTTAAAAACACAAGAAAAGAAATGTCAAAAAAATATCAAACGCCTTCCTACCTTTTTCTTTTCTTATTTTTAGTGAATATATATTTGAATTTACATGGGTATCTGTATCAAGAAAGTAAATTGTGTTTATGTTGCACTTCTCACAGAGTAGAATCCCTTATTACACTGTTAAAATACAGAAAAGTACACAGAGTCCTAGACAAAGCAACCAAAAAAAAAAAAAATCCAAGCATGGCACTTTTCCCTCCTTTGTCATTGCTGGTACTGACATCATCTTTTTCCTTGCATCCAGTCAGAGGCCAAGTAAGTTCACTGAACGTTCCAGACCCGGTGTCCAGATGATGTGCTCCTCCTTCAGCGCAGGTGAATACAGCTGTTTATTCTCAAACTATTGTTTACAAATGACACCGTCTCAACATTTTACACCATGAGGTGACTTCAAAATATCAACTCAAACAGAAAAAGGATTTGTTTGCACACAGGTGGGATGTTTCTGGCAACGGGAAGCACGGATCACATCATCAGAGTGTATTACTTTGGCTCAGGACAACCGGAGAAGATCTCAGAACTGGAGTCACATACAGTCAGTCAAACCATTGAACGTTTCAAGTTTTGCATGTGTATCAGTTCCCATCGATGTAAATTTATAAATATAAGAAGTACTCATTATGTGTTGATGTAGTAAAAAAGAATTGTAACGCAGAGAGCACAGCCCACTATGTGAGCAACTACCATGATTTGGGAAGCTGTACTACACAAACTAGGTCTATTTTTAAAATTTATTTTTTTTGTCAACTAGGACAAAGTTGACAGCATCCAGTTCTCACACTGCAGCGATCGGTAAGTTTGTGTGTCTCCTTTTGTAGCAAATGAGTTATACTGAAGATGAACTGGATAAACATTAATCGTTAAATATGAGGAGCTGTTTTTGTGTTAGTTCGGCTGCTGAATTATTGTGTGTGTCTGTGATTATTCTTGTGTTTGGGTTTTTTTTTTAGGTTTGTGAGTGGCAGCAGGGACGGCACGGCGCGCATCTGGCAGCTGCAGCCTCAAGGCTGGAGGAGCATCCTGCTGGACATGCAGACTAAATTACCAGGGTATATGTAGTACTCAGTGTGCCCCCTGTTTGTTTTGTTTTTTTTTGCCCCTCAAAGCATCATTCAGCCGAAACTCCGTAGATGAGTTAACGGAAATTGGCATAGATTTCACGGTAATTTCAAACCGTTAAAAACCTGCAATGGAACAGCAGAACAAAACAAATGGAATTCTGTTCATTTGGTTACTTTTTTTTTTTTTTTTGCTTTCAAACAAATTACCTCCGAGCTTCGCCTGATGAATAATTGATTTTCAATATCTCCACTGGGATTTTTCTTGTAGGAAGTACAACCCACCACCACTAGAAGACAAGGTGACCAAGCTAAAGGTCACCATGGTGGCGTGGGATCGCCACGACAGCACGGTGATAACAGCAGCCAACAACCTGACTCTGAAGGTCTGGAATTCCATCACTGGGAACCTGGTTCACGTCCTGATGGTACGTATGTCTATTTTAAGTACATTAACACAATCTATCCATTTTCTAATCCGCTTAACCTCACAAGGGCCACGGGGCGTGCTGGATCCTATCCCAGCTGTCACCTGGCAGTAGGCGGGGTACACCCTGAATTGGTTGCCCGCCAATGGCAGGGCACACTTAGACGAACAACCATCCGCGCTCATACTCACACCTAGGGACAATTTAGATTGTTCATTAACCTGTCATGCATGATTTTTGGAATGTGGGAGGAAATCGGAGTACCCGGAGAAAACCCACGCAGGCACAGGGAGAACATGCATACTGAATTCTCTGCACTGTGAGGCCAATGCTCAAACCAGTTGACCACCGCCCTGCCATATTAACACAATGTCACCCATCTGTTTAGCTTACAAGCTTCACATTTTGTCGCAAATGTGCAAAACTCTCTCGTCGGAATTCATTTCAAAGCAAAGTAGGAGACGTTCTGTGTCTAAGCACTTAGCTTTTTGAGGCCTTTATGTGGGTCTCGTCAGGATAGACATGCATACCAAATTTCACATTGCTAAATTAAACTGGCTCCAGGGGCTGAATTTGAAAAAAGTAATCAATTTTTGAAGGACGATTGAATATTGACCCTAAAATGGTGGCTTCAAACCAAATTGTCATACTTCCTGTGTTTTTCAGGAATTACCTCTTCAAACTTTTTTGTGGGGCTATTCATGATCGACATGCAAATTTTATGTTGCCATGTTCAAATTGGCTCCGGGGACCTGGATTTCCCAAAACACCTCGCCTACACTTCTGCCCAGGGCCCTAACAACTCTCTGTACACAGTCAACCCTGTTCGTTTACATAAAGTGCTGTCAAATTGTAACCGACATAAATAAAAAATGCTCCAGGGCGAACAACGCCTTCATGGACGCGGTGCGTGGTTGAAATGTTTAACCTCAATCCAGGCAGTTCATTTGGACAGGGTCACGAGGATGAGGTGTTTGTACTGGAGCCGCACCCCTTCGATCCCCGAATCCTGTTCTCGGCGGGGCACGACGGCAATTGTATCGTGTGGGACCTGGCCAGAGGCGTCAAGATCCGATCCTACTTCAACATGGTGAGCTGGCGCTGGAAAAAGATCTGCATTTCTTTTTGTTTGTCCTCCACACATGTGATGCAGATGTTTCACTTTGAGTCGGGCGTCTGGACTGCATGAATAAATGGATACACAACAAAGAGCCGCTCCAGCAACTATTCTCCTCCACATTTTGGGCGGAAATTGATGCAAAGATCAGTAAAACATTGAAAGAAAGTGTCTAAAAATCTACTCAAGTAAAAGTAAACCAATTTAAGATGTACAGTGGTGTCTTCAGATGAGTTTATTTCATTTACATGACCAAGCTTGTAACTCAAAACACTTTGTATACGAATGGCAATGTGATTAAAATTTTCCAGCCTCCTCCAAAAAACAAGAAAAAATGTTTCTAACATGTTTTCAACAATCGAAGATGGTCCCGTTGCTTTGAAAGCTGCGTTATTAGTCATTCCTTGCAGGGATAATGAGTGCCGTTGTTATTGCCTGCCTGCGTGAGTTCAAATATTAGTTGCTGAGTGTTATAAAACCTCCACACGTTAGTTCACTGCTACCACAGAGTGCTTCTGTCTCGAATATTTACTCTCAAAGTCAAGGCAAAAACTACCCCCTGCCAAATAACAGTTCGTACCTCAAAAGATTTGTTCGTCGGGTCACCTGTAAATCCAGACGCCACTGGACCCAAAAGTAAACGCAAAACATGTTGACAGCGTCACGTTTTCTGAAGCACTTGATCTCGATCTGTACAGGGTGGCATGTAGATGTGAGCTGGAGCCTAGTCTATATGTGCCCTGCAATTGGCGGTCTACCATGCCTCTTGCCCAAAGTCACCTGGGATAGGCTCCATCTCTAGGATAAAAGAAAATGAATGGTTGTATTTGTGTCACCTCCTTGGTCCTAGATCGAAGGTCAAGGGCACGGGGCGTTGTTTGACTGCAAGTGTAGCCCGGATGGGCAACATTTTGCCGCCACCGACTCCCATGGTCACCTGCTGATCTTTGGCTTCGGCTCCAGCGGGAAGTATGACAAGGTGAGGTCACGCATACACACACATATGACGACGTCATCACCTGACTCCATTGATCTGCCATGTCGAAGATCGCCGACCAGATGTTCTTCCACACCGACTACCGGCCGCTAATCCGCGACGCCAACAACTACGTGCTGGACGAGCAGACCCAGCAGGCGCCTCACCTCATGCCACCCCCCTTCCTGGTGGACGTGGACGGCAACCCCCATCCGCCCCGATACCAGCGGCTGGTGCCCGGCCGGGAGGGCTGCCGGGACGAGCAGCTCATCCCGCAGATGGGTGTCACCTCCTCGGGTACGAACGAGTGCAACGTCGTTGACACGCTTTTTGTGTTGGTTTGTTGTCATAACAACAGTGCCAAAGGTCTACTGCAGGGGCTGGACAAATCATGGCCCACTTTGTTTTTTAATCCAACCCGCTGACCATTTTCATATTTCAGGGCTAATATGTCAAATTTTCAGGTGTTGTCTGGTGGTACATATGTCACGGTTGTCAACGACTACGCCTGTCCAGTTAGACTGAAAGATATGATCGGAGTCATTCGCCAAGACAAGAACATTATCCCCCTTTTTATGTGCTTAACGAGATGCATTTAGAGGAACAACCGCACTTGAATGTCAGTTAACAAGCCACTTGAAGCAACTTACTGACTGCACATAATTAAGAGATCATTAAAAGGTACAGGGCGAATGAAACAAATTCCACTGTTAGATTCCGTGTATTCATTCTTGTTTCTTTTTTTTTTGTTTGTTTGTTAACCAGGCTTAAACCAAGTGGTCAGCGAGCAGGCGGTGGATGGCTCCAGTCCTCTGGATACCATGATCCAGAGATTACAACAGGAACAGGACCAGAGGCTGGGCTCCAATGAGACACCTGCTGCTCCCGGTCCTGGTGCCGCTGCTGCTCTTACCGCAAGCTCCCGAGTCAGCAGAGGTATTCATGCTTTGTGTATTAGTGCTAAGGCTTAATCCATTTGCTGTATTATTAACGTTTTCATGGAAAATCTGAAGCATTCAGTCCAGGGACTCAGGGATCTGCATACCAATTGTAATATTGCTCCAAAACTTTAACTTGACACACCGCATTTACAACCATCAGATATAGAAATTAATGGTTGTTTTTAAATCCTTCAGGGTCTGTGAGTTCTCCGACAGAGGTGCACTCGCCACCCAACGTGGGCCTCCGTCGCAGCGGGCAGATCGAGGGTGTGCGGCAGATGCACAGCAACGCCCCGCGCAGCCAGATGGCCACCGAGGGAGACTTGGTGGCGTGGAGCCGCCGGGTGCTGGTGCCTGAGCTGGAAGACGCTTCCGTCAGGTAACAAACAGCGCAACACAGCGACAGCAACATACTTTATTTAGCCTCAGCGGGTTTTACTGCGCACGTTGTTGTACCGTGGATACCTTTGTTTGCTTACAGTCTGTCTGTTTTGGTCACGCAGGAAACAGGTGAACTGGCGAGAGGCAAAAGGGGAGGAGGAGATCAACATTTACCAGTCGGAACGCCGGAGACGCACCATCCACTCCCTGCCCAAGGAGAGCAGAGTAAGACTTTTAAGTCTTCAAATCATGATGGCATCACTTTTGCTAATTCCTGGTTTGCAGGTTCATCCAACTTCAGAGAGCGTGTCTGATGAGGGGAGGCGGAGTCAGGGTAACCATGGTTACCAGACCCGGGCAGCCGTGGAGGAGACGAGCCGCCAGAGTGCCGAGGTGGCTGACGATGATGACAGCAACTCAGAGGTAGCGCGCGTCTATGCAACAAAGCAGATTTCCTTAAATAGAGGCCGTGTACCAATTAGTCAGCTAGTGCTTCATCCACCCAAGACAAATAACCGCCTCCCTCAAATAAACACCCACTTTTCGCCTTCAACAAAAGGGAAGCAATCTTAAAACATCCTAGTTCAACTTTTGTCGTTCACATATGAGAATTTAAGAGTTTTAAATCTGTTGCTAACCAAAACTGTGGCACCTACGGAGGCATCCAAAGAGATCCTCTTAGGTCAAATAAGTCTCCTTTTGACTTATACTCCTCACAAAAAGTTAGGGCTTTTGGGTGGAATTTCAGAATGAACAGTAAAATGCACCACAACTTTTACAGGTGTACTTAATTTGATAGTTTCCACACTTTTCAATGGACGTGCTCAGCTGCTCGATGTTTAATGTTTCTGACAAGGAACTAAATTCAGAATGTCCTGATTGTGTGACACAGTTCGAGTCACTTTGTTTTGACTATTTTTCGACGCAGAGTCCAGATCCCAAAACTCTGCAATGTATTAAGACGAACAAACAGAGCGAATCCAGATTGTGTCAACTCTCTAAATATGTCTGGGTTATCAGGGCGAGACAGAGGTGCGGCACATCAATGGGCACTCGTCAGAGGAGGAGAAGGAAGAGGAGCAAAAAGAACCATGGCCGGATGATCACAGCAGTTCGAGGTATGGCTCGGTGATATATGGCCTTAAAATTACACGCTTTCTTCCCATTCTGGGATTTTCTGCATTTCTCCTAGTACCACAACTACATTGCTCAGCGGGTCTATGTGTCCAAATGTAATGCTAAGGATGAACCCTACTTCAAGGCTTGCGACATTTATCATTGCGACTCTCTGCAGGCACTGTCATACATGCACATGAAGACACCAGCCTGCATCCTGACATTGTTGTCTTATCCGCACAGCGACTACTCCAGCGACTACTCGGATTGGACGGCCGACGCGGGCATCAACTTGGAGCCGCCCAAGAAAAGCGTGAAGGTGAAGAAGAAGAGCAGCAGCTCTGAAGAGGACGGCGACAAGAAGCGTGACCCCAAGAAAGAACGCAAGAAGGACAAAGCCGACAAAGATGGCGCGTTACCAAAGAAAAAGACCCCAAAAGAGAAAAGGAAGGTTTGTCATCTTAAAAGGAAAACATGCTCCGCATCATGAGGGGGGAGGAAAAAAGGAATCTTGATTTGTTAGAAAACAAATGATGTTGTCTGACAGAGGGCAGAGCTTCAGGAGCAAGGGCTAACTTTGGAGGAGTGGCTTCCCTCTTCCTGGATCACGGACCTGCTTCCCAGAAGATGTCCTTATATTCCACAGATGGGAGACGAGGTATGTGAACATTCGATGATCCCCAAGTAATGTTTATGGAAGGTGAGGTATTTGTTCGACAGCTTCTTTTGTCATGTTGGGTAATGTTTGCGTTTGTGCCTGCAGTTGTACTACTTCCGTCAGGGCCACGAGGCATACGTGGAGATGGCCAAACAAAAAAAGATTTACAGCATCAACCCTAAGAAGCAACCTTGGCACAAGATGGAGCTACGGGTAAGAATTGAGTAAAATAGTAACTCAAAAAATTACTGTTAATACTAGCGTATCTCACTGGGTTATGTTGGATTCCTTGCAAGCAACAATTGCTGTGTTCAAGAGATTGTTTATGAAACATGCAATCAGATCAATGTTCACAACACTTTGCTCAATAAAAGAAATATATTTGACAGTTAATTTGATCATGCATTCATAACATTTAACTCCCGGGGAAACAAATCGCACAGATTGTGTATTATTTTGAAATGCGGGGGAGAGGGGGTTACTTTTTAGGTCACATCAATTATTGATTTTACTCATCAGATAATTTAAACAAGGTCTTTGCTGTCTTCGTTTTTGTGTGGTCAGGAGCAGGAACTGATGAAGATTGTGGGGATTAAGTATGAGGTGGGCTTGCCCACATTATGCTGCCTCAAGTTGGCCTTCCTAGACCCGGAGACCGGCAAACTGACTGGAGGATCCTTCTCTATGAAGTAAAGATCTCGAGCTGCACCTCAAATTCCTCCATTCAAAAAAAAAAGTAATCATATGATGTGCTACTTTTTTGTCACAGGTACCACGACATGCCGGACGTCATCGACTTCCTGGTGCTCCGGCAGCAGTTTGACAATGCCAGAAAGAGGCAGTGGAGTATTGGTAAGGTGTCAACGAAGCGGCATGTGTTAGCGTGAAGCGGTGGCATTTCAGCCGTGATCTCCTGTGCGCAGGTGATAGGTTTCGCTCTGTGATCGACGACGCCTGGTGGTTCGGCACCATCGAGAGTCACGAGCCGTTCCAGCCGCAGTACCCAGACAGCCTGTTTCTCTGCTACAATGTCTGGTAAACATCACACAAACGTTGTACAGAGCTCAAAGGACATTATATTCTCAGATGTAAGATAAACAGCAACTGACCGAAAACGGGGCAATGGAATGAGATATATTCTGGAAAAAATATATATTTTTAAACTAATCATTGTAAAAACTTGTTGCTAACACTTCATCTTTGGTTCCAGCTGGGATAATGGCGACACGGAGAAGATGAGTCCCTGGGATATGGAGCTCATTCCTGATGAGGGTGAGTCCTTGTAACAACACAGCAAGCATCTTGTAAGTCGCATTTTTCCAAAGTCTGTTTTCTTCCTCAGCGTCCTTCCCAGATGAATTGGGCACCAGTGTTCCGCTCACGGAAGAGGAGCATCGCGATCTCCTGTACGTGCCGCTGGACGGCGAATGGGGCTGCCGCACGCGCGCCGACGAGTGCGAGCGGATCATCAGTGCCATCGACCAGCTCTGCACCCTGGGTAGGATACCCTATCATCATCATCGTCGTTGATTATCGTCCCACCTTGCCTCATTGTAGCTGTGTCATGTAAAACACCGCTTCCAGAAGGCCCTATTCAGATCTGAAGACTCCCAATTCCTTGCGTTTTGGGTGTTGTCACATGACTCATGCAGTGTAAATCGAGCCTGAAGGTGTGTCGCATGCACAAGATTGTGTACGGTAGTTGAACACGAACCATTTTGTTTGTTTTCAGACATAGCGGCGCCTTTTGCTTTCCCGGTGGACCTTCAAGCCTACCCCACCTACTGCACGGTGGTGGCTTATGTCACAGATCTCAGCACCATACGCCAAAGGCTGGTCAACCGCTTTTACAGGTATCGGAATGCGACTGCGCGCGTGTGATAGGATGAAGCGCAATGGATTATAGCATGTGCGCGCACTTTGGCTTCAGACGACTGTCGTCTCTGATGTGGGAAGTTCGTTACGTGGAGCACAACGCGCAGACGTTTAACGAGCCGGGCTCCTTCATCGTCACCACGGCCAAGTTTGTCTCCGACCTCATGCTGCAGTTCATTAAGTGAGTACGGTGTCCCCAAGTTTTTAAATGAATCAATGGCGGTTAATGTGTAAAAATATATATGTATAAAACCTTTAATTATTTGATGGTTATTTTATGTGTTTAATTATCTTTTATTTCATAATGCCCATTAGAAGTGGCATGAAATATATTATGAAATGCACTGCAAACTGAACGAATATTTGTTTTTCCATTCTCAGGGACCAAAGTGTGACAGACCTAATGCCACTCTACAAAACCCTGAAGAAGGCCACCTTCTCGGACTCTGAAGACGAGGTGCGTTTCTCAAAACAGGAACGAAGTACAAATTTGGTAGACGAAGATTAATGTGTTTGTTCTGCTCGAAGGAGGAGGATGAGGAAGACGAGGACACCAGTATGCCAGGAACCTCCACGCAAAACCACAAGGTCAAATAAAATTCATTTACAATGTGAAATACGGTCAAAGATATTAGAAGAAGCGGCTTGGGTATATTTCTGTCTTTTGTAAGTACATTACATTTACACTATTTTAAAACAGATTTTTATTCATTCGGGTACAATTCTTGTTGAGATTGTGTGTGTGTGTGTATTTCTGAGGCGGTACTTCATCATTGAAAACTTTCAAAACCGCTGATCTCCATGTCTGAATGGGTTACTTTTTTCCCCCTAATTGTTTATGATGACGGTGTCCTTCGCAGGAGCGGCGTCTAACACGGCAGCGTCTGCGCACGCGACCACCCTCGTACGACCCTCAAGCGTGGCGAGGACGCTGCAAAGAGCTACTGGACCTCATCTTCCAGTGCGAGGACTCCGAGCCCTTCCGAGAACCCGTCGACTTGCAGGAGTATCCGGTACGAACAACGTGCTTTGCTTGATGAACTATGAGGCGGACTGGCAATCGCAGAGTCATGTACAATGTCATGATATATTCAAGTTTATCCTTATTTTGTGATGACGTGCCATGCAGGTCAGTTTGTGTATCAAATGATGGCTAGATCAGGGATGATGACTAGATTTGATTGTGGCCAGATGGCCAGAGATTTTGTAGTCTTGCATTAGGTATTCTAGCACCCCCTGTAGGTGAAGCATGCACACGACAGCCAGTGTCTTTTTGTTTTTTTTTCCTTTCATGCGGGCCATAGCTGTTCAATTCTTCCTCGAGTGTCTAAACTATCGTGTGTATGGTTATTCAGTCATAATTAATCCACTTTTACTCTGCCAGGATTACCTCCAGATTGTCGACTCTCCAATGGACTTTGGCACTGTCCTGAACACGCTGACGACAGGCAAGTACCAGACGCCCATCCAGCTCTGCAAGGATGTGCGCCTCATCTTCAGCAACTCCAAAGCGTACACGCCCAGTAAGAAGTCCAGGGTGAGAGAAGCGCACGCATGCACATGCATACAAACACACACACACTTGGGTTTGTGCATATTTCTTTGAAAAGTCAGTCGAAAGATTTTTGGGGGGGTATTCTGTTCATGGACCAAATTCTTTCCGAACTACAGCATTCAGTAACTGAAGTTTTGTGTGTGTGTGTGTGTGTGTGTGTGTGTGTGTGTGTGTGTGTGTGTGTGTGTGTGTGTGTGTTCAGATCTACAGCATGAGTCTGAGACTGTCTGCACTCTTCGAGGAGCACATAAGCTCCATCCTTGCTGATTACCAGGCCATCCACGGCCTGACGGACAAGCTGACCCGACGGACTGCCGAGCGCCATGCCCAACACTCCACCCCCGACCAGCGACCCACGCGGCACAACGTGAAGAGACGACGCCGCAGCGAGTCTCCCCCCAGCAGCGCGGCTTCCAGGTATGACTCCAAAATCTGGTGATTCTGAAGTTTAAACAAGTCATACAACCCACTCTCTGTTTGTAGCCCAGAGAGGAAGAGGCGCGTCTCGTCCCGAGTGACCAGCAGGCGTGAGCCTTCGCCACCTCCCTCACGGCCCCCCTCTTTGAGACAGAACCTCCCCCCAAAGTACACGCCTCCGCTGCTTAACGGGAAGATGGACACACCAGCAGCGGGACGCACGCGCAGCGCCACAAGACACTTTGCGCACTCGCCGCCCTCCTCAGCGTCTACTAACATTTGCAGCGCCACAGGTCAGATCACACACCAGTTGTTTTTGTTTAAGCGTTTATTGATAACATTCCAAAAAATAAAAAATGTAAAATCTCATTTTATATACAAATATTAACCATGTGACATTTTATGGAGGTGGTTGAAAGCACAATAACAGATTTTTTTTTCCTTATTTTTTTTAAATTTTGTACACAAAATCAGACAGCTATTATTAAATCAATGTTTTTGGAAACAATATACAAAGACATCTATGACCTTTACTTGTGTGTTGATAATACTCTTTCTCCATTCTAGAGTCGACCCGCTCGCTGAGAACGCACAATTATGTCTCTGCCTCCACGCCGCCTGCAGCAGCTGAGAAAACGACGCCGTCTTCGGCTGGAGAAGGTGGCGTGACCGGAAGCACTCGGCGGAAACCAAGGACACCTGTAAGACGAGAATCAGGTAATGTCTTTGGGAGTCCCATCACATGCCAATGAAAAGCAAAATGTGTTTGTTTGTTTTTTTTAATATTTTAGCCAAATAAGTGTTTTCACATTTAAACCTTGTTGTTTTTTTTATATACAAAGAAAATAGAATCACGTCTTTTTATGACAGCTGTCAAATGAAAAGCATCTCCAAACATTTCGATTTTCTGTGTGTCACTTGCCCTCCCAGGGTCTCCTGAAAGCCTCCCCTCCCAGAGCACAGCCCTCCTGAATGGCCACAGCGGTCATATGACGGCTGGAGTGGGAAGGAGGGGTCGTAAATCCCGAGTGGACCCGCCGGCCGACCCGGCGACTCCGGCCAGCCCCTCCAGGAGGCGCGGTCGACCCCCGGGCAAGAAACGAGGCAGGAGGAGCAAAGAAGACCATGCCAGCCCCACCCCTGATGATGAGCTTGACCAATCCACTGGCGACGAGGGCGGCGCGTCAGCAGCGGTCACGTCAGACTCTGGCACGCCGAGAAAGAGGGGCCGGCCACGGTCCCTCAGAACTGAGGAGGTAACACCGCAGCCCCCACCTCTCCCCACTCCTCCTCCTCTTTCTCCACCTCCTCCCACCACCTCGGAGACACCTGAGCCTTTGCCGCTGAGGAGGAGCAGCCGCAGAGCGCACGAGGACATTATGTCCGTGCCACGGACGCAAAGAGGCACTCGGAGGGACGGGGCGGCGGATCACCAGGAGGAAGAAGATGAGGAGGAGGGCGAGGATGAGGCGGTGGGCTCGATGCGCACCCGTAACCAGGGGCGACGCTCAGCCTGGTATGTCGAGGATGACTCTGAGGAGGAGCAGAGGCAACTGCTCTTTGAGGACTCCTCCATCACCTTCGGAACCTCTTCCAAGGGACGCGTACGCAAGCTGACAGAGAAGGCCAAGGCCAACCTGATTGGCTGGTAGCCTGACATAGACATATGTGCGCGCACACACACGCAAGCCCCTTTCACACTACCCAACAAAGCCTGCTGATTTCTGTGGGCTTGAAAAAGCTTTGGATAAAAATAACGTTTTCTGAAAAGACTCAAAAGTAGCGATTTTTCTTTTGGGGATTTTTCCCACCATATTCTGATCTTTTTTTCTCTCTTCCAAGAGGAAGACTGAAATTTTAAATTTTTCATCATGAAAACCGTTTTTTTGTCATGCAGCAATTTTGCGGAAATGCTGTGCAAGGGGCTACACACACACACACACACACACACACACACACGTGTGCGCGCGCTCTCATTGGCCCAGCTGCTGCTAATCCAAGCTGTGCCCCCCTGCCCTCCTTCCTCCTCCTCAAGTATTGGTCCATGTTGGACCCCACACTTTCTCCCTTGTCTTCGTACTTGAAAGAAAAGCCGCTGGAGGAGTGCTTGCTTTACAGAACTGTACTGTCGTCAGTGGGTGGGCGGGGGTCAAAAACGCCCACTTGAGCCCAGAACGTTTCCCCTGTCCCAGAACATTTTTATACATCCCCCTGACTGCTTTTTTTCTTTTTCTAACATTTGTACATGATGCTTCGCCCTCTGCTGGAAGTCTTACGTGTTGCTGTCCAATGAAAAGCATGACACTTCATATGTTTGTGCCCAAAAATTATACACACTTTTTTTTTCTGAAGCCTTTTTGCCAAAAATTTGTTGTTTTTTTTTTTTATAACAATACTAATAAAACTTTTGGTGATGCATTGCTTTACAGTGGACAACAACAATATTGAAATATGTGTGAGTGCTCAGAAAAAAATGAGTGTTTGCTGTTCAGTGAAAATTAGGTACAGTATTTACAAAGTTGGTGATTTAAATTTGTAGCCCCTTCCACAAATTATTTTAATCATAAATTTGTTTGGTTCTATTTTGTTTGTGAAAGGAAATTTGTGGCGATGCAAATAGTATGTGTGTGTGCGTGTTGTCGTCCAATGAAAAACTTGTATCATGACAAAATTTTCTTGACTATTTTCAATTTGCAATTTTCTTTTTAATCCCCACGAAATTACAATATTTCACTTGTCATTTTGCTATTATATTATCAGTATGAATGATAATTGGAGAAAAGTCATTCATCGACTTTTTTGTTTCATATCAAGAAGACTTTTTTTTTTTTTTAAATCACAAAAACGTTTTGTGAGTAATTGTTTTTCATGAATCACAGAAAAACTTTTGGAGATGTATGCTTTTCAGTGGACAACAACATCACCATCATGTGTATGGGTCCCTGTCCAATGGGGAACAAAAATTAGGTTTTCTCAAAAATTCTTGCATTAAAAAAAACAAAAAAAAAAACTTCATAACCAAAATTTTGGAAAGATTTTTCTGCCATACTGGAAAGGAAAAAAAACATGGCCAAATTTGGAGAATTTTTGCTTTTCTAGAAAAAGAACACAGTGTGTGTGTGTGTGTGTGTGTGTGTTTTTTATATATATATATAAAACACACACACACACCATACAGACACTCTTTCTATTCGATAAGGACAAATTGGATGTGTGTGCTGAAATACCAAATGTTGTACTGTTGGTCCCGAAGGGTTTTATTATGTTTTGTTGCGTGTCAACATGGACGATAAGAGCTCATGTGTAGGTCCTACTGCATTAGCAATGTATGTGCCTTTTAAGTCTTTGATGCGTATGTATGTGTTTGTGAGAGAGACACGAACAAAAGTTGTGTATTTATTAGATCATGTGACTTATATCATGTAACCAACGCTATAGCCACATGCACTTATCCCCACACAGCTTCATCGCAATGTGCTTTTTACTGTATTTTTTCAGTGTTGTGACCACACACACACACACACCACATTCTTTTAAAGCAAATTCTGTCAAATTGGAGAGTGTCATATTTGTGGTCTGTGCTGGTGTGCCTTGATAAATCCTATCAGGACCTTTTTAAGAGGTCGTTTAGCTTTCAGGACCAGGCCAGGCTGGATTCTCATCAAACAAAATGTCCGTCCTCCTCTTCCATTCTCTTAACATTAACACCATGGATTATTTGTGTACTGTGTCAGATAATTGATATTTTGGATACACTTGTACTCTGTGAATGTGACTTTGACATTTTGATTGACTGGCCCTGAAAGTATGTTGTTTAATGCATGTTGTGGTCCAAAGTGTCACACATTACATTGCACATTCAGTGGAACCTCCAAAAGTCCAATTTTTCTGTTTCCTGGTAGTAAAGTAGAGCTGGGTGATTATGTTTTGGGGGTGAACTTGAAGTCTCATTGTCATTTTTTTTTTTAATTGGGCAGTGTTGTGACCAATACAGTACTCATCTTTGTGGTGTGTCAAATTTAGAAGACTTTTTTTTTTTTTAACGTCGAGGTTGAACATGTTCAAAGCTGTCAGCACTGCCTGTGCTTTTGTAAAGTTGCTCCTCTCTGCAGCTGCTAAAAGGAAATACATTTGAATTAATACACAATCCATCACCCAACTCTATCAGAAATAATGAAAATAATCTCTTCCTGGGTCAAACTATGGCCTTCATAGAACCCTTAGTCATACTCCGGGCAATTAAAATGTCTATTTCACTAGTGTAAAAGTTCTCAACAAACGCTGATCTCAAAGATGACCACGCAAGGCAGGTGAGTCTCTTCACATTATCACTGTTATGAATGTTCCCATCCTTCTTGTTGTCATTTCAGCTGTATTGCACTGCGCAGCCAGCGCAGGATACTACATTCCGACCTCGCAGTAAGTTCTTCGCAACAGCCCTGCCACATTTGAAATGATCTTCAAGGTGCCTTAAAGGAATACTGTAGTACAGTTGGGTTGGGCATTTATGTGGGTGTGCCTTGTGAGCATTTCCAGTTGTCAGAGAAGAGCATGACAAGAAGGGAGAGACTTGGGCTTTTCACACGTCTGTTTGGATACTTATAAATATAAATTAGAATATACGTATACTGTACGTTTGTGTGTAGGGAAAGTACTGATGTCCTCTTAGGTGATACACACAATACGCCATGTTTACGTCTCATCTGGTTGTTAAAAGACACGGATTACATATTTTAATATGGCAAAGGGGGCATTGACTTGAACTTTGTATGTTGTCACTTCATAAAGTTCAGTCCAATGTCAAATTAAAACTTGATTGGCTAAAATGTCTGTCAATAGTCGGTTCGTAATTTATCTCACCTGCAACACAGGACTTAAATCTGATTGGCTATTAGATGTGGTGGCCATTAAATTATTGTCAAGACGAGCGAATGCTGTTTTTTTTGAGGGATATTGACCACGAACCTGACAAGAGCTCACTTTTTCTTTGTTATTTTTGCTCTTGTGGGTTTTTTTTTCCACGGACAATTACCGACTGGCCCGGCGAGCTTTAAAACGTCGTTCCAAGATGGACGCTCGGCACCATCATCCTTCACAGGTAAATACCAACGGCTACACTCGCAATTAAAATAAAAATAGTTCAATTTGGTGCTCTTGCAAGTCTGATTTGACCAAGGTAAATTAATTTGGTATTGCATTATGTGCTTGACTAACTTCGGTTAATCATATCGAGCACATTTTCCTCCAAAAGTAAGTCAACAGTTGTACGTAATGTACTCGTTGGAGTGCTGCTATAAGTTTAAGTCAACACTAAATAACTGCAGCTGTAGAAAGTCCAAGAATTTCCACGTCCTCTCATTTCTTGTATACTAGAAATCTTCTCAATTTGCATTTAGTGTCTACGTTGCAATGTCCTTTTTAGCCGCTAGGTGGAAACAAAGTAACATAAATCTATTGCTGTTGCTTTTCTGGGTGCGTAAGTTGCAGTCAGTTTGTGGCCTAAAATAATGCAATTATTTTCGAGTTTTTGAATGTCACGTATTGTTCTAGTGCCTGCCTAGCTTGTTTTCATCCACTTAATTGCTTCCTTTGTAACGCTCTGTTCTTGTAAATGAAATGTGCAAGTTGACTGCATGTCTTTTAATCTTCGTATTGTAAAGCATTTATATGTACTGTAAACTCTATTGGTGTAAATGTAAAAATAGAGGAACTCCTCTTAATGTGTCTCTGCATACATGGATGTACCAATGATCCCATCCCAGTTGTGAACCCCAGTCCTATTTTTTTTGAAGGCCACAGTTTGTTTGGCTACGCCCGCATCAAACTGTGAAAAGCGGATTTTATACTGGCAACCTAAAAATACAGAGGCCCTGTTTGTTGTCGTAGTCTCCAGTTTCAATGCTCCCCTGCTATGATCCGTGAAACCCAAACCTCTGATCTGCGGTGCTGGCCAAAAAGGGCCAAGATACCCGCAAAAAAAAAAGAAAAAATAGTTTTCACACACTAGGACAGTGGTACATAAACCACTGGATTTTAATCACAGTGGAACCTCTGAAAAAGTCAACAAGCCACATTTTGTCCGGATTCAAAAACATTTTTGCAAGTAACAGGTGAGACGTGTGCTCTGCTTTAATTGCAATCTGGTACCATCAGACACTGTCCACAGTCATCAAACTGAATGAAATACTGAGTGACGCATACAACTGTCTTTTTGTAAGCACAGAGAAAATTACCTCGCTCCGTTTGCCAATAAAGCAGTCTGAGATTCAAGACTTAAGCGCTCTTTTTTCTTTCTGTAGTTTTACCCTGTCACGGATGTCTTGAGCTTCAGGATGGAGCCTTGACATCACGTCTGTCATTGACATTGTGTCCTGATACCCCTCTTTCCAGAAGGTCAGTACAAGTTTCTTTGAGACCCATAAGAGTCCAATTCTATGCAACAGTGCATTAAAAAAAAAAAAGGTTTGCGACAGTGAGATGATTGCCGAAAAGGATGTCATTTACACCGAGTACTTTCCGGATGCATAGTAAATGTGGATGTCTTGCGAAATGATTCCGCGAACAGACGGAAATGTCGCTAGTAGGTTTTCGGTGGGGCGAGAGTGTTATGGTGAAAGTAAATGGTGCTAAACGATTTGTGCGTTTGACTCTGTTTTACCCCTTAAAAGCATGAATTCCGACTTCCCTCTTGATGTTTATAAAAGTCACTTTAATAGTGAGGCCTGCTCAGTGACGTAAGGATTTCTGTAAACCCAAAGAAAGGTGGGGTATCGCTAAAAAGCTCTGTAAACTGAGCCCTCCTTGGAAGTTGGTCTGAGAAGGGGCCCCGGGTCCCTACCAGCCACCGCCGCCCGCTGGAGACCTTGGCCATGTCAGGAAAAAGATTTGCCTCTAATGGTCTCTGAATCTGTTGACGTCCCCGCCGCGCGCTCTCGCTTGCTTGCTTTTTCAGATGTAGCAATAAAGTCGGCCATGTTGGAGCGCCGCCACATCCCTGTGACGACCACAATCAAGCCCAGCGGCTTTTTATTTTCATATTGTCTAAAATCTCCAGGCCCCCCTCCTACGCCGTAAATCCTTTATTTTGACTCGGCTTCTTTTGTTTTTCTACAAATTTACGAGCGAAGGTGCTAAAAATCAGTGCGGCGTCAGCGTGTCCGCAAGTCATTTTTCGCGCTGGACCTTATTGTGAAAGAGGAAGAAAAGTCAACTTAAATTTTGCGGTGTCCTCATGTGATTTGTGCCATAAAATGGCTCGTGTACCTTCCTGGTTTCAAAACATACAAATAAAACCTGTGATTGTCCCCTTGTGAGATTAATAAAATATAATTAAAGCAAGTGAAATATAAGGTAGAGACATAATGTCTCTAAGTCCTAGTTTGCTAGAGTTTGGTTTCGTACAGTGGTATTTTGACTTATGAATGCCCATACTTACAAGTGGTTAGAGTTACAGGCCCCTTTTTTTTTTTTTTTTAAGTATTGTGAGCCAAATTCTAATTTACGATGGCGTTTCGGCTGTGCTGTCACTTACTGAAGTGAAAGAAATGCAATAAGGGTACGATTTGAAAACCTACTTGAGTGACATTGAAGGTAATTGATAGCAATCCCGAGCCCACCAGCACCCTCCACCCCTAAACACACACATACACACCCTCTTTTGCCAATGTTTCACTAATGAGAGTTTTCCATATTGTGCTTCTCTCTCTCTCTCACACACACGAGCATGCATACACATCTGGGCACAGCTGAACCTGTTGTAAAGACCTCATAAAGGCTCCACATCTGTTTATTGCAATGCCCCCCCCCCCCGCTGATTTGCCAACACAGACACCCACCCTCATGAATGTGCACCAATTTAAAAAGTTTTTTTTTTTTTTTAAATAAAGGGCACACACACATACACTTGTGTATGTATGCGTCCATTGCAATGATAATGCATTGCCAACACCTGAACCTTTTCAGGTCACAGGTGACGTGATGTTTTGGAAATTAATACATTCAACAAATTAAGAGCATATACTTGAGACAATTGTCCCCCTTTTTAAGCTTTTTAGTATTACTACAGGCTGGATGTATTAATATTCGATATCATGCTACACTTTGCCTACCCCTCGACCTTCACCAGAATGAGGAGCAGTTTCTAGTTTCTTTTGTAGACAGGTGCATATGTTGTGCATCATTTACTTTGACAACCTTTTGGGCACGTGAAGGCATTGTCCTCTTGCTTTTTCCTCGATAATTCCCCCCCCACCTTTTGTCACTCTTTTCATTCGTGGGCCTGCTCGGCTGTTCGGGCCTCCACTAAAACTTCAAAGGTGGTGTTTACTACTGTAACTGGAGCTAGTCTGCACCGCAGCTCGCACTAATGAGTGCACGGACCACATAGTGCACAAAGCAACACATGTTCCCCTCATGCAGGCAGGCGGCAACATTCCCGACCGACACCATCACCGCCGTGTCGGAGAGCCAAAGATCCATCACAGATTAACAACCTTTCAGCACCAGGCTTTGTTGTCTCCATCCTCTCCGTTGAAGATCTCGGCCTCCCGTGTTTACATCTTTTTGGGGTGTAGATGTGTGCCCATTCTATAGTGTTAACCCACATTTCAAAACAAAGCTTTAACATGCATTGTGGTCAAGAAAAGAGATTGGCACGTCGCAGTGTGTGTATAAATTCCTGATGTTTCAGGTATCTGGACTTTATCTATTTTCTGCTCACTACTCCCTACGTTTGAAAACAGTTATCTGCATTTTGTGCTCCTCAGGTTGTCAAATTAGTTAATTGTTACTTTTTTCAACCTCCATGATGCAACGTGAAACAATATGTAAATGCAGTGAAGTGAGGATGACAGATAGATGCAGATTTAGTTT